AAAAAAAAATCAAATCAAACAAAGGAAGCAAAGAAAGATATGAGTCTCCTCCCTCTCCCAGGGGCTGCTTCAAGCTGGGGCATTGCTGGTGACCTGGTGGCGGTCTCGGAGGACTCAGCCACCTCACTGCGGCCTACTGAGCTGGGCCACCAGGTAGAAGGCCGCAGCCCTGCAGCTGCAGCTTCAGGCTCACCACCGTTATGTCCAACCGAAGCTGTTGGAGCTCTTGCCCACTTAGGAACTTTCTATAAACATTCGAAATAGCCTTTATGTCATTAAAAAAAAAAGTTTGGCTGAAAATTAGCGTTTGCAGCTCTGAGACGTGTGTCCCTAATGGCTTTAATGATTTCACACGCGTTATCAGGGTCCCGCTTCCTTCCTTGGTAATCCGTGGACGCAGTTGTTCTCGGTTTCCTTTCTCCATAGGAATCTGTCTGTTGTCGGCGGAGGATGGCTGGCTGGCACAGCCAGTGTCTGAACTGACAGTTGGATCTGGGTTGGAGCATTTCTTGCTTATTACAACCTCTTAAGTTAAAAACAAACAAACAAACAAAAAAGACTGGGCTTTTTTTTTTTTTTGTAGTGAAGATTTTCCAGAAAGTTCCGAGGGCTGGCTGCATCTCCCATTCAGGCTTTGGCTCTGTGCATGTGGCTGGCATCCTCACCTCTCCTCAGACACTGCCTTTGGCAAGGGGCCAGGCATTTCTTAACAGCCGCAGTGCACATTTCTGTCTTTATCTTACTTGACTTTCCTGTGGAATGTGACATTGACCGTGGCCTCCTCCTGGACGCGTTGCCTTCTTGGGCGCCCCCTGATGTCCCTCCTCCTCCCCTGGGTGTTCCCCTTCACTGTCCTTTGAGGGTGCTCCTCCACTGTTGGATGCAGGTGTGGCCTCGCGTCTGATTCCATGCCTTCCTGACCCTTTTCTCAGGGGCGTTCATCTGTAACTCAGACCCCTCTCTCTTCAGGGCCCCCACATTCCAGCTGCCTACTGGGTTTTCCATGCAATGGACCGCAAATATCTTAAACTCAGAGTGCCACAAACAGAATTCATTTCATTTCTTCTCAGACCAGTCCCTGTTTCCTATATTCCCTGCCTTGGTGACTGTGTTACCTCCTATCGAGTTAAAGAAAGAACTTGAGGCAACCAAATAAATGTCTCATTCTTCTTCACTTTTCTTATCCCATGAGCACCATGCCCGTTTCCTTACTGTAAGGTGGCTGCATTTCCCCCATTCCAAGCCAATCCCACTGTCCTTCAGAGTCAGTATGACCTTACCTCCTGCAGGAGGAATTCTGTCCTAGCCCCTCGGCCTGGGGTTTAATAAGTCCTGTTTACCTGTTGATCCGAACTTGATTGAGTTTAGCTGTGGCCCAGGTCATGGCGTAGTTTCAGGGCTAGCAGAGTGGGACCTTGCAGATGTGTAATTTGCTGGAAGTGCCTGAGTACTGTTCTATGGCTGGTGGGTGTGCTGCCCTTTTCATGCAGAGATGGGGCTGGGGCATCAGCTGTGGACTTGTTGGCCCTGACAGCCATTTCTGTCATTGGTTTCGAGTTGGATGTGTCATATGGGAAGGTGATAGAGGGCAGGAGGCAGTTTTGGCACAGTGGGAAGATCATTGATTTCCAGAACTCTAAGGGGTAGGGAAGAATAATGCAGGAGAAGCACCCAGTAAGAGCTGGTTCTCAATAATGATATGTTTGGGGCAACCACCCAGGGGCTGGGCTAGGTGCTTGGATGGAACAGGGACCAAAAGGTTCAGTGGCAATTGGCTGAGGTGACAGTCCTCGCCTATTCTCTGACTCCCCGGTGCAGTGTGAAGGCCGGTCTTCTCAGAGGTGGTGCTCAGAGGCAGCTGCTTTTGTTCCGTAATGTAAGTTGGGAGACTTTTCTTTAGTCTTAAGTGGACTTTCTCATTTTTGTAACTAGTGGGGAAGAGTCGGGAAATGGTGACATCATGGGCAGCATTGTAATGACCAAGTCCTAGTTCTACAGTTTGGAGAAGGCACCTGAGTGTCCTTTTTCTCATACACCCTCATAACCAGAAAACTCTGTGTACAAAATGGTTCAAGTCCCGGGAACCACCAGTTGCTCTAGGCTTGTCCTTACTGTGGAAGCTCAGAGACTCACCCGTGAGATAACATAAGTAAATAGACATAAGGCCAACCAGTCCTGGCCAAGTAGCTCAGTTGGTTAGAGCATCAGCCCCATACGCCAAAGTTGCGGGTTTGATCTCTGGTCAGGGCACACATACAAGAATCAACCAATGAATGCACAAATAGGGGGAACAACAAATTGATGTTTCTGTCTCTCTCTCTCAAATTAATGCACAAAATTTTTTTTAAAACTTATTAGAGTAGGTGAAGTCATGTATGCTTGCTGCTGGACAGGTAGAAATATTTCCTATGCAGGTAAAAGAAAAACGACTCCTAAATTAATGCTGATGTTAGTCTGTGCTCTTCTGCAGCTAAATATGTCACATGATTTTCTCTAATTGCCCCCAGGGGTTGTTTATAGGCCAGCATTACCCTAGTAGGGTCACGGGAGCACATGGTAAAAGTGCTGCACTTTGCTCTGAGAGAGGGAAGAACGAGCCCCCGGAGAGCTGGCGGAAATGGAACTGCCCTGAATGGAGATTTGAAGTGAAAATTGACCACTCGTTGTGATTTCTCTGTTTTTTAAACCCTGTTTTTAAAGTTTATCTTGTCCTGCAAATACACACCTGCACATTGGAGATAAGAATGGAAGAAGGGCCGCTGATGACAAATGCATGGCTGTGTTTGAATAAGGTTCTCTGTCCTGATTACTGAGCGGGGTCCAGGTGCCATGCCTGGAATGTCTGTCCGTGTCTTTCCCACCCCAGCCCCAACACAGCATGTGTTTAGGCAGATTATATGTCATTGGAGATTATTTTGAGGATTTAATGAGTAGGACTCAATAAATGTTTGTCCTAGTAAACGCTTGTCTTGCCATTTTATTGCTCATTTTTTATTGTTTACTTTTTAACAGAATTGTATTTCAATTTTACTTGGAATGGTATATTTCTCCAAGTGCAAACTAATATTATGATTTTCATAACTTGGGTTTAAAACTCAAGATTCTCCCCATTGGATGTTGTCTTTTGGTTGGAATTTTTTTTTTTAGATGCTTTTGTGTACTTCTGTAGGGTTAAGCTGCTAATGTATTCAGGGGTCCTCAAACTATGGCCCGTGGGCCATATGCGGCCCGCAGGCCACATGCGGCCCGCCGAAAACATTTATCTGGCCCTCCGGGTGTTTTTGCCGCTGCTGCCTGTTGCTGAATTTGTTCATAGTTTTTTTTTAAACTATAGTCCGGCCCTCCAACGGTCTGAGGGACAGTGAACTGGCCCCCTGTTTAAAAAGTTTGAGGACCCCTATCATCAATAATCTAGACTAATAGTTTTTTTAAATTAGAAATTATTTTATAATCTTTAAAAACTTGGAGGGAAATCTGGTTACATCCTATGCAAATAATTGATATGAGCTGAGTGTTTATCCACCAGGTTTTAATGTCTAGGAACTTGATGGCATCTACATAGCAGGCTGGATGGATGGTTGAGTCTCACCACTTATATTTCATTTATGTTTTTCATATATATTTTCTGTTATTATTATTTTAAATGTTTTTATTGATTTCATAGGAAGGGAGAGGGAGAGAGAGAGATAGAAATGTCAATGATGAGAGAGAATCATCGATCGACTGCCTCCTGCATGCCCCCTACTGGGAATTAAGCACACAACCCGGGCATGTGCCCTGACAAGGAATCAAATCAGTGACCTCTTGGTTCATGGATCGATGCTCAACCACTGAGCCACACCAGCCAGTTTGTTCATACATTCTTATGAAAACCTTAGACAATTATACCTTCATCCCCTTCTGTGATAGCTCAGGTTCCTTATACACAGGGATTGGCAAAACTAGGTTTACAGTTGTTCGTAAGGAAAATAATAACAATAATTAATAAATAATAATACAAGAATAACCTGCAGACCTACTTTTGCCCCACTCTGTACATCGGATTCTGGTGAGGCCTGTGATAGACAGATTCCTGACCATTTCTTTCTCTCTGCTCCCCAGTGATTCTGACACTTAGGATGATATTTTTCTCAAGAGCGATCAAAATCTCTCTTATATTTGGAACCAAAAAAGAGTTGTCATTTCCTGAGTTCAAGGAGGAGGGTATTGGCGGCTTTCTTCTGTGGCAAAAAGGGTGGCACTGAATATAATGAGGCTCTCAAGTAGATAGCACTCTGGAGAGGTGACACCATGCCGTATGGGAGGACTTGGGCAGTCAGGTGTTGAACAGAGTTTGATTTGACTTAGCGATGTTGGAGAGGAGTGCTCCTGGGAAGGGAACGGGAGATCTGTGGCTGGCTCCTTCTAATCGGGAATCCGGAACCTGAGTCCATCTGTCGTCCCAGGTGCTAAGATGATTTTTTAGGTATCTTTCATTATTGTGACAAATATGTCAACACCATGGACAACATCAGTATATATTATTTCTTGGGAGGACATTCTGCAGAGAACTTTCATTCTTGGGCACATCCTCATTGATGTCTTAGAATCTATATATATAAAAGCCTAAGCGACCAGTTGACCGTTTGACTGTTTGACCAGTAACTATGACATGCACTGACCACCAGGGGACAGACGCTCAACGTGCAGGCATGGAAACATGAAAGAGACTGATGAATCTCAGAGGGAAGGGGGGCAGGGGAAAGGTGGGAAGAGATTAACCAAAGATCTTATATGCATACTAGACACCAGGTGCATGGATTTGTGTATCTGGGTTCCCTTGGCCTGGCCTGTGGGGATCAGGCCAAAACTGTCCCGGTGCACGGATTTGTGCACCGGTGGGGTCCTTTGGCCTGGCCTGTGGGGAACAGGCCCAAACCAGCTCTCTGACATCCCCCAAGGGGTCCTGGATTGAGAGAGGGTGCTGGTCAGGCCGAGGGACCCCATCGGTGCATGAATCCGTGCACCGGGCCTATAGTTAAATATAAAGCCCAAATGCCATCCAGTGGAATTGTGACTCATGGCCTGAAATGCCACACAGGAGTTGCTGCCAGAAACACTTGCAGGGAGATCCAGTTGCCCTTTCGCCTCCTCAGGTGGCTGGTCCAGATGTGTCGCCAGGAGCAAGAGTCCCTGTGGGAAATGTAGTGGCTTTTGAAGTTGAGTTTCATGTGGCGTGAAGAGTGTTTCTATATTCAGAGACATCAAACAAAGCTGAGTATTATTTTCTTTTTCAGGAGTTGTCTCATGGGCATTTTTAGAAAATTTATACTTAAATTAGAAATAATATAACAACTTTACAGATTAACATTAAAAAAATTACGGTTACTTGAACTTTGGCAGACTTTCTGAGTTCATGTAAATGGATAATTTTTCTCTGTAAAATGCTGGCTTTGAAGTTTTCTTTTGAGGGCAGAGATAAAATGTATTAAACTTAAACGTTTAAGTTAAATTTATTTTTGCTTGAGTAGGTGAAAGATGAATATAATGCAGAATTTAAGAAGCACACAAGAGCCTGGCTGGAGTGGCCCTTCCTCCAGTGCACCGGAAGATTGCTGGTTCTATTCCTGGTTGGGGCACATGCCTGGGTTGTGTCTTTGGTCCCCATCAGTTGGGTTGTGTGCGGAGGGCTACTGATTGATGTATCTCTCTCACATCGATGAGTCTCTCTCCCTCCCACCCTCCCTCCTTCCATCCCTCCCCCTCCCACTCTCTAAGCATGTCCTCGGTGAGGATTAAAAAAAAAAGTATACAAGATTATGCAATAGAAAGTTTTCATTCCACCCTTGATCTCTAGTCTCAGGTCCCCTCTTCTCTAAGAATTGTAAGTAGTTTTTAAGATAGTCTTCCAGAGCTATTTTGTGTGCATACAAACATATACACCCATGCCCTCGCTTTTCCACACATCTGGTACATACACCACTCCTGTTCTATGTCAGTATCGTCTCTTATCCTGGAAGCCATTATTTCAGTGTATAAAAGGCCTCCTTATTCATTTTTTTCTTATGCGGATGTGCCATTATTGACCGTCTTCTGTGATGAGCTTTTAGGTTGTTTCTGGGTTTTGTAATTACCAATAACTTTTTTTCACACATGTAAGAGTGTTAAAATAAATTTCTAGAGGTAGAATTGCTAGGTTAAAGGCTTCTGCCCTTGTAATTTTAATAGATATTGCCAAATGCTTGCCATGGAAGTTATACCACCAGCAATGTATTGGGGGACCTGGTAGACTATTGGCTTTTAAGTCTTTCTCTTGGGGGTGGGAATTAGAGAATTTGAAAATATTCAGGTAATTTGAAAATATATATATTTAAATACATAACGTATGCATATTTAAATATACTTTGATCTATATTTCATTATTGTGTAGTCACATTACCGTCTTTCTTTGGAAGCTAGATGTTTAAGTGGCTAGATGTTTAAGCTAGGTGTCTACAACATTAAGTTATCTATCAGATTGTGAAAAGGTGAACGATGAGGTAATTTGAGGAGCTTTTGGATTCATGTCCTCACTTTCTGTCTATGCTTCTCAAAATTCTTTAAGATTCAGCTCAGTGTTGCCTTCTTCCATGGAACCTATAATTAGTCTAGCTCTTGTTGGCCTGGGACAGCATTTACACCCTGTACTCAGTTCCATGCTTTCATTAAAAGGAATCTATATCATGTTTATGAGCCATGTCGGGAGACGAGATGTTAGGAGCAGTTTTAACTCGTCGCTTTGCCCTTTGATTTTTCTCTAGTTCTTGGGACAGAAACAATAACATTCAATAAATGCTATTTTCTCAAGTTTTTAAAAGCCCTCTCAAGTGCTTTATTATAACAGTTTAAGCATAAATCTTAATATTTTTCAGAGTAGGAAAGTAATAATGACCATTGTAGAAAATGTAAAACATATAGAAAATTTTATATAGCAACAAAATACACATCACCCAGAATTTTACCTTCCAGAGATCATCACCCCATCAATTCTTTTGTTGTGTGTGTGTTTAATTAAATTGGAAACAACATGCCGATGCAGTTTTATATTCTCCTTGTCGCCCTGCCAACAGTTGACAGTTTGAGTACGTCCTCCCGGAGCTTTTTCTATGCACATAACACATAATGTGAAATGTAAAGAAAGTTTTAGAACATAAATTAGAAACGAAATCACGCTAAGCATAATGCTGCACCTGCTTTTGCCACTCAGAGCTGTAGTCAGCTCCTCGTGTGTGTGTACAGAGCCTACTTCTTTTAAGCGTATGTACCATGACCCATACAACACAACATCTCCGTTGTATGCACTTTTCCCTATTATAATTAATGCTGAGGTGAACCTCTTTTTACATAGATACATGTCGAATTTTGGGTAGGTTCCTAGAAGTGGAATTGCTGCAACTGTGTTGAAAGGTCATGCATGCCTAAGTTTTTACTGAGGGTAATGTCAAATTTCCCCTTAAAAATGTCCTATTGGTGTATATTCCAGCAAGTAACACCGTGATATCTTCATCAGCACTGGAATGATCAGTCTTTTTTAAATTTATTTTCAATTCAAGAGAGAAAACAGTGGCCTCTTATGCATGTATAATTTACATTTTACTGATAGTGAGGTTGGTATCTTTTTTTAAATTTTTAAAATATATTTTATTGATTTTTTACAGAGAGGAAGGGAGAGGGATAGAGAGTTAAAAACATTGATGAGAGAGAAACATCCGTCAGCTGCCTTCTGCACACCTCCTACTGGGGATGTGCCTACAACCAAGGTACATGCCCTTGACCGGAATCGAACCTGGGACCCTTCAGTCTGCAGGCCAATGCTCTATCCACTGAGCCAAACTGGTTAGGGCGAGGTTGAGTATCTTCATATGCATAATCTGATGTCTTTTAGCTATAAAGTGTGGGTCTTTTTTTTTTTTTTGAAGTTTCTTATTGGATTTTTATGATACTGAATTTTTTGTCTATTGCAAGTATTTTTTCTCAGGTCGTTGTCTTATAATCCACTTTACATTGTCTTTAGCCATGGAAGCATTTAAAATTATGTAATAAAATCTGATAGTATTTAGGAGAGACTTACATACCTTCACATTAGTAATATATTTTCTTCTTGCAATTTTATAATTTTGTTTTCTTACATTTAGACTGAGCTAGATTGATAGAATGATTGACTTCTACTCTTCCTTTTGCCCTGTAGTTTGATCATGAAGATTGGTATACTTTTGTATAGTATTTTTATGACTTACCAAAGCAGCTTCATATAACAATAGATCAAATTAAAACTGAATGATGGAAGTATATATGTTACAGATGAATATTTTTTGGTGATTTTCAAATTTCTCTTCAGCTTTCATTTAGTTTGGCTTTTCAAATTGTGTTCCCTGGTCACTTTAGGCATCTCAAGACTTGGGACTAGGGGAGTGGTCGGCAAACTGCGGCTCGCGAGCCACATGCGGCTCTTTGGTGCCTTGAGTGTGGCTCTTCCTAAGCCTTAGGAGTACCCTAATTAAGTTAATAACAATGTACCTACCTATATAGTTTAAGTTTAAAAAATTTGGCTCTCAAAAGAAATTTCAATCGTTGTACTGTTGATATTTGGCTCTGTTGACTAATGAGTTTGCTGACCACTGGACTAGGGTGTCCTGGAGGATGTACAACTCAGTTCTGCTTTTACTGGAATGTTGCATTTGAAAATGAAGGTGTTTCTTCAAAAAAGAACCAGAAAACCAATGATTTGAAGTTTGGGGAGCTGGGTAGGGTTTCCCCGGGGGATTCCAGTGTGTTGGTGTTGGTCATGTGTGTGGTCAGTGTGCTTTGGAGCTAGAATTCCTTGCCTTGAGGACCTGGGCGGAGCTCCCTGGGCAGGGCTAGGCTAGGCCTCCCTCTGTTTCCAGCCCTATCCTGTTACAGTTAAAGTATGTTCCGCAGTTTGACCTTCCGCTCTAGAACACTTTGCACACTATTATTCCCCATTTCCTCCTGGATACCTTTCTCATCTGTACACTGGGATCTCGTTAGGCAGAAGCAATAAATACTTCAGAGCATAAATATTTTTGTTAAGAGCTGAAGTACATTTCTAAATCCGTGAACACAAGTGAAATGGAAAATTACTGAGTACATTACAAACTCAGACCCAAGAATGCCAGGGGAGTTTTATTTTTATGCTTAGAAAAGAAACATGAAGTGTTGTTTATCTGTGGGTGTGAAAAATATATTAAAATAGCATATCATAACTATATTCAAACAGTGTTTTTCTTGCCCCGTCTTAATTTGATAACTTCAGTCTTGTCCTAGTACATTTCTCTTGGAGTGTATTAATGCCACATTATTTATTATTTGGACTCCATTGAGTTACTGCAGATTTTTTGACTGTTTAATTCTTATTCCTCACCTTAATGGAATAGCTGATCCTTGGACAATGTAGGGGTTAGACCTCCCCCCTTCCTCAAATCCTGCACAGTCAAAATGCGCATAAAACTTTTGACTCAGTTGAATAACACACATTTGTATGTAATATATACTGTATTCTTACAGTAAAGTAAGGTAGAGAAAAGAAAATGTTATTAAGAAAACCATAAGGAAGAGAAAACAGTACAGTACTGTACGTCTTTATTGAAAAAAGTCTGCATATAAGTTGACCCCTGAAGTTCAAACTTGGTGTAGTTCAAGGGTCAACTGTATTTAATTGTTTTTCAGAAGGTACTAAATAAGTTTTGGTGCCTAGTATCGTCCCTTTTTGGGCTGAGGCTAAGAAGAGAGGCTGCATCTTGCCACCAGTGCTGGTCCTGATTTTCAGACAGTGGCTGCTTCACCCACAGTAGTGACCTCCAAGACCTGTTTAGTTTCATGAGTTGGACGAGAGGAATTCCAGGTCTTGCAGGCATCTCCTTCCTTTAAGTTCACTCGTGGGGAACATGACACATGGTCAGCGTTGCTAATTATACTTGAAGGAGCAGAATCACCTTCCTGCCTTCCCTCTCTTCCACCCACTCGTGTAGAGGTGACTCTTGGCCTTAGCACTGTCACGAGAGGCCACACGTCCTATAGACTCTTAGGAGGAGAGGCCACAGTGCAGTTTGCGTTCACTTCTGTGCTTCCCCATGAAAATATAAAAGATGCGAAAGCATATTGTTTATTTCTGGGATTGATTATTCTTTTAAGAAATCTTTCAAATTTCAGCTTTATTGAGGTATAACTATTGTAAGATATTTAAAGTGTCCACCGTGGTGATTTGATATGAATATAGTGAAATGATTTCCCCCTTCTATGTAACGAACACATCATCACCTCCCACATTTATCTGGTATTTCTTACTCTGTTGGCCCTGTGTGTTGTGGCAGCCTCCTAACTCCTGGGAGGGGCATGAAGCCCATTTATAAGAGCTCAGAATAAAAATCATAGAACACAAGTGCTCAAGAATGTTAGCTAAATGGTGACGGTGGTGGTGGTGGGAGATAAGGACTAAAGCTCATTTATACCCCATCTTCCTCGCCACCATCCTGCCAGTGTAATCAGCTGCACTAACACCCTGGTCAGTGTTCACCCTTTCATTTGCTTGGTTTTCTTAATAAACATCTGACTAAGTGTTCCCACACACTTCCCACTGCTTTATGAAACTCCTGCCCAACTTTCCACGAGATCCAATCTCATTCGATAATGTCACCCCCTTCCCTTTCTTTCTTCCCTCTGGAGCCCCCCAGCTTCTGCTTAGGTAAGGACTGGCACAGGTAACACTTCTTATAAAGACTTTTAAACCATTGCCCTGCTTTTAGGTCCTTCCCTACTCACAGCCTCCACACTTTGCAAAACAAAAACACCTCCTCACCTCACCAAACAGAGCAGAACACCTGGTACCTGTGCCTCTCAGGTTGAACTTCCAGAGGCTTACCTCTCAGTTAGCTCGCACGCCCAGCTTTCCTTCTGTATTTATATATTTTGATGCGGGGTTCCTGAAATCCCCTGGTTTCGTCAGGCGTGGGGCTTTCAGCATTTGTGTTTTATTCCCCTCCTCAATTGGAAATGATTTTTCAGCTGGGAAAAGGTGAAAACTTCACTATTTTGTGGCTCACATCCAGCAGTCTCCCAGCCTCTAGCTCCAAATTTCTAATTATTGGCTGGACTAAAGTCACCAGACAGGGCGAGGAAGTAAGCCTAGATATTCCAGACACATTTTGTACGTATTTGCCCTTGGTCCTAGTCTTTGTTATTGTCTGATACAAACGAGAGTGGGCTCAGGTTTTCTCCTGGTGTCTTCCTCTAGTGAGAGTTTTTCTTCCAGTGAAGATTTCATGGGAAAGTCCAGCTCGTGAGCTCTGTGTTTTCTGGTGAATAATAAGCCCAACTTAATGAGGTAGGTTGTAAAGATAACTTGTCTCATTTTAGTTCTGCAGCTAAAGGAACACAAGGCGAGGCAAGAGTTACTAGGGAACCACAGAGAAAATTAACGGGCGTTGAATTAGGACCTCAAGAGAGAAGGTCAGAAAGGTAGGGATACTTATGTTGTGAGCGCCTTAATAAGAGTGTTAAATTTATGAATTTGTAATGTAGAGAGGATGGGTCCCAGTGGCCCTTTTCAAGGTGAAAGAGTTTAAGAATAGGTAAAATTAGCATGTAGACATTTAAGTATATTTTATAAAGAAGATGATGTTTCAAGAAGATTGTTACTGAAATGAGCCTCGCCCTGGCTTGGGTGGCTCAGTTGGTTGGGTGTCATCCTGTGCACCAAAAGGTCACTGGTTGATTCCCGGGCAGGGCACATGCCTGGGTTGTGGGCTTGATCCCCTGTAGGGAGCGTGCAGGAGGCAGCTGATGGATGTTTCACTCTCACATTGATGTCTCTCTCTCTCTCCCACTCTCCCTTCCTCTCTTTCTTAAAAAAAAAATCAATAAAAATCTTTAAAAAAAAGATAGGGTCCCCTTGAGTGATTTTTCTTTGATGTGGTTAGACACCATCTAAAAGTTCTAACTTAGTATGGAAGTGGCTAAGTGCCATTACATTTTTTCTTAGTGCACTCTCTCTTGAGAGCATTCAGGCGCAGGTAGTAGGATGAAATCTTCATACTTCATTGCTTGCCTGTTTAGGTTGCTGTCTTAGAATCCGCATTTACCAATCAGACTTAACCAGTTCACTGCCACGCGTCCAAAACGGAAGCCATCCCCACACACCAGAGAAGCCTAAGGTAACCCAGTAAGAAAAAAAGCTATAACCTGATCTTGGTTGTTTTGACTCCAAGTCTTATTTCTTTCTGTTTTTACATTATGCATGCAGCTTTTTATCGTGTGAAAACACACGATTTCAGTCATTTTATAGGTCAAGAAATGGAGCAGCAATGTGTCGTAGCTTCTACATTTGGCAGTTCAGGCCTATGCAATAAGGAACTTCTAAAGATGTATAGCTTTGGACTTGATAGCATTCCTTCAGAATCTACCCTAAAGAAAGAATAAAGAATTATTTTTAAAAAGAAAGAAATAACAGCAAAGTTAACTTCAGCTAAAAAAAAAAGAACCAGAGGCATAGGCAAATCTTTTTGAACCATAGCAAAAAATCAGAACCCACATGCATGTAACAATGGTGAATGGTTCAATAAATGTTGGCCTATACCGTAGAGCAGTGGTTCCCAACCTTTTTTTGGCCATGCCCCACCTAAGCATCTCTGAAATCCTGATGCACCCCCCCCCTCGTGACATATAATTATTATTCAAAAAGCAAACTCCTAATCACATGGAGGAAGCCTAAAAGGCCATTAACGTGGTCTAAATAAGCTTCCAAAGAACATGGCATACATGAAAAGAGGAAAATAAAAGAACAAAAGGACCGTTGAAGAACTAAGGAAGAAATCACTAAGAAATTGTTATAAAAATAGTAATAATATGAAGCAATATGAAAAAATAGCAAATAAAGTTTAAGAACATATACTAGAGAACTGAAATGCATTAATATGTCACAATATATATTTATATACTGTATATGAGGCCCCTAGAACTGTATCTGAGGCCCCATAAGAAATATAAAAATTCACTGTTAATAACTCATTATTGAATTGCCCCCCATTAAAAATCAAACTGCCCCCCTGCGGGGTGTGTGTGCCCCATCTTGGGAAGATAAGTAGTAATCAGAAAGAATGAAAGAAATGAAACAAAGTAGTGGAATCCCAGTAATGTAAACAAATTTAAAATATACCTAAGTAAAAGGATGGGATAGCCAAAACCGGTTTGGCTCAGTGGATAAAGCCTCGGCCTGTGGACTGAAGGGTCCCAGGTTCGATTCCGGTCAGGGGCATGTACCTGGGTTGCAGGCACATCCCCAGTAGGAGATGTGCAGGAGGCAGCTGATCGACGTTTCTCTCTCATCGATGTTTCTAACTCTCTATCTCTCTCCCTTCCTCTCTGTAAAATATCAATAAAATATATTTAAAAATAAATAAATAAAAGGATGGGATAAAATATACAAAAGTTTTAAATTGATTACCCTTGGGTGGTGACATTATGCACGATTTTTAGTTTTTCCTTTTAGTTTTCTATAATTTCCACTTATAATGAATTTATAATCAGAAAGTATTAAAGATTATTAAAATTTTTAGATGAGGTAGAAAAAGAATGATCCTTCTCACCCTAATAATTCAAAAGAATGAAAACTCAAGCAAATTCCAGGATACAAGCGGTTTTAATCAGTTCTAATTTGAAAATGAATGTTGGATTGCAAGTGGTTTTTTTTTTTTTTGCTTTTGCATTTAGTCAAAGTATGATTGTATATGGTGCTGAAAGCCACGTGCTTAATGAGCCAGTATTGTAAATACTGTTATTTATGAAGGGGCCTATATGTGAATGTGCGTCTCACATTAAAATCCCATGGTGAAGGACTGTGCTTTGGACGCAGCCTCTGCCACCTGCTCGCTTTGGGACTTTGGCCAGATCCATACAGTCTCAGTTTTCTTACCTGTAAATTGGGGTTGTGAGGATTAAATGATGTCATGCATGTAACTCACTCAGATGATTTTATAGCTGAAATGATAAGTGATAGCTGATTTAGTGCTACTCCTGAAGGAAGACTTATTTCAAATTTTCTTATATAGAATATTGAGGAAAGGCAGAGATTAACTGGTTTAAAGTATTTTTGGGGGGTCTAATACAATATTAATACTCCAAAGATTACATAGGGGCAAAGTAGATGTTTCTGCTTCTGCCTTCCTCCCTCTGAGGTCAGAAGTGTTCCATGCCTTTTCTCCTAGCTTGTGTAAGCACAGACACATAGAGGATGACTGGTTTGGCTTTATTTTTTTTGCCTTACATATTACTCTGCAACTCACCCTGGGTGTCACTCTGAACCAATAGATTCTGTTCTAACTAATTTCCAATAATTACCTAAGACCCTAAATAATTTTCTATGCCAGGATTTCTTTGAACATAACTCTGTTATGGATATTCAGGGCGGTTTTTGACCCTTATACATAACCCTGAAGATTCGTTGCTTTTATTTCCTATGAAAGTTTCCCACAAGTGGCACTGCTGAGTCAGAGTACGTGTTAATTATAGTGCGGAGGGATTTGGGGTTACACAAGCTGTTTAAAACGTTGGTTCCTGCCCTCTTACAATCTAGTGGAAGAACAGATGATGTGCATTCTTTTCCCAGGGATTTCTTTCCTTCTTCTTTTTTTTTTTTTTGCTCTTATACAAAGATTTCAGTAGATAGTGATCCCCCCCCCCCCCCCCAGGGAAGTTTGAAATCCTTAACATTCTGAAACAGGTATAAATCAAGAGAGCGGAGGGAGCCTCCTTCATTACGTTTACTGTGTAAATTGGGATCGTGAGGATTACATGATGTCATGCATGTAAATCACTCAAATGATTTTATAGCTGAAATGATAAGCGACAGCTGAGACAATGCTACTCCTGAAGGAAGACTCATTCCAAATTTTCTTATATAGAGTATTGAGGGAAGGCAGAGATTAAGTGGTTTAAAGTTTGCTGTGTTCATTAGCGATGAATTTGTCAGCAATTGTGCATGTTTAAGTTTTTCAGCGTTTAAGAGCTCAGTCCAACTTGGGAACCGAAGCACTTGACCTTTGCCCTCCTGTTCCTGCTGCTGTGCTCATACCCTCCAGGGCCGCAGGCACCCCCCAGGCCTGGAGAGCCATCCCACACGCAGCATCTTGTCTCCAGTGGCCCAGGCTTGCTCTGCCCCAGGCAGGGCAGCTGAGCAAATCTTCAGCTTGAGGTCAGCCAGGGTGACAGGAATGGTCCTAGGCTAACACAAGGGTTTTAAAACAGTGAATGTACTGCACTTGGTTGGACAGGTAATGCCATTTCTTCGTAATGTCACTCAGAGAGCTGCTTAGTACAACCTAAGATTTCCCACGTTTCCACTTAGGTAGTGTGTGTGCGTGTGCGTGTGTGTGTGAGTGTGTGTGTGTGTGTGTCTGCTAGGCAGGGGATGGAGAGAAGAAAGGACACAGCTGGCGTGGCTGTGCATGTGTATATGGGTGTTTGTAGTCTATCTACATGGAGGTGTCTGCATGTCGCATGACTGTCTGGGTTTAGGCAGCGGTTCTCAATCTGTGGGTCGTGACCCCTTTGGCGGTCGAACAACCCTTTCACAGGGGTCGCCTAAGACCATCCTGCATATCAGATATTTACATTACGATTCATAACAGTAGCAACATTACAGTTAGGAAGTAGCAACGAAAATAATTTTATGGTTGGGGGTCACCACAACACGAGGAACCGTATTAAAGGGTCGCGGCATTAGGAAGGTTGAGAACCACTGGTTTAGAGGCCTTGTTTTCTCCCATCAGTAATTAACATTTGGTTACTTCAGTTGGGATTATGCAACTCTTTACAGCTGACACTAGTTCGTACCTGTTTTCATTCCTTCTTCCCTCTGATTCAGCGTCTTGGCTCCGGAGAAGCGATTGCCCCGGAACACTTTTGAACCCGCTTGGCTGTCCCCTGACTCACTGGAGTGGTCACATACCTGAAACCCACCGGGCACCCTGTCACGGTTCCCAGGCGGTGGGACCTGTACTTGCTTGTTTTGCACTCATGTTTTGTCTCCTTAACTTCAAAAACCCTCCGACTCTTGGTTTGTGGAAAGCAGTTTTTATCCTTGTGCTACTTAGCAGGCGCTGGGTTTCCTTGGATTTCCTGCAGCATTGCGTGAAATGGCACCAATAATGATAAGGGCAGTGAGAACACGCACGCGAATGGTGCCAGCACTTGGATATTCCTAACTCCCAGAATCTTCCCGACCACTCTAGTGAGTGATGGACACTGTCATCACCCCCATGTTGTACCTGCAGAAAGTGAGGTGGCCTCGGAGCCTGGTTCTACCGCTTGGAAGTGGCTCCTGTGTGGACATGACTCCCCATCTGGGTGAGGCTGGCTGGTGGAGCTCGAGGAGCCAGGGAACCAGGCGCTGTCCCCGGGAACTGAGCTCCGGACCGGCAGGCCCAGTGCCGAGACTTGGCAGAGATGCTGGCTGTTGCTTATGTTTGGAGAGGAAGTGACACAGATGAGTCCTCTCCTCCCAGAGCCCTGGACCTGTGAGGGGCGTTGAGGGAACTCAGGCCTGGGCAGGAAGGAAACGGGGGAGGGAGGTGTGGAAACTGCTGGGGAGGCCACTTGCAGCAGGCTCTCACGGGGAGAGGGGAGCCCCTCTCTCGGTCCCTGCGGTCCCTCGGGGCGCACATCGCAGGGGAGGGCGAAGCCAGTTAAAGGTGTGTTCGCCGCGGAGTTTCTTCTGTTTTGATGAGTGAGTCATATGACCAAGCTGGAAAGCATCTTGGGCTGCTCTTGTGATCGTGTTTCTGGAATTGGTTTTTGAAGAGGTTGCGTGCGACGTGCTGGGATTCTCTCTCTGCAGCACAGACTGGTGCTGTGGAAGGAAAGCAAGCGTCCAGGTAGGCGGCATGGGGGTGGGGGGAGGGGGGCGGGCAGGAGAGGGGGTGCTGAGGCAGGGGCAGGACTCTGGTTCTGTGCCAAGCCCTCTGGATAGGACATCCCAGGGCTGAAAATTGGTCACCAGCCTCAGGGTCCATGTCTGCCCTATCTGCATGAAGTCCACCGCGGGTGAGCCAAGATAGACCGCCGGTGGCGGCTGGCTCGCAGTCGTCCTAATAGAATGTGGGAGCTTGCTATTGTCGGGTTATTCTTCTATCGCCAGGTTGTAGTTTCAGCCCCCGTTCTAGATATTGTGAGCACGGTTCTTTGAGTAAGAAATGGGGTCAGATAATGTCAGTGTCTGTCTGATGAGGGGCAAGTTCTTAACCTCTGCAGCCCAGGTGCCCTCGTCTGTAAAATGGGGACATGAGGACTAACCTCAGGGCAGTAGGGCTATGGGAATACTGCTCAGTGTGGCCCTGTCTTTGAATCTGCTCTAAAAATGGAGGTGCTCATGACCGCCTTCTTGGTGTCTGACACTAGGGGATGTTGTGTTCTGGTTCCTGGCTGAGAGCAGCTCTGGCATTCCCGGACCCGCATCACGGTGGGTGTAGACATGGATAGCAAAGAGCTGGAATCGGAGAGTTGCAGCTTCTGAGGTCTCAAAGGATGGAGTCCTTTGGGACAAAGCATTCCTGGCATGAAAGGCAGAGAAGGCTCCTTTGAGAAGTAAGCCAGACTCAGGTATTCTGATACACCCCACCTGACGCCAACGGGCCAGGGGAGACTCCCCTATCTTGTGTCGGGTTGATCGGCCTTTGCATTTTATCCAACTTGTCATTGTATCTCCAGAAGGAATTTTCCCCGCCATCTTTTAAAAATTGAAGAACTTACACTGTCAGTTTGGTCTAGTTAAACACACGTTTTAGTTTGGAAGGGCAAAGGGGTTCAGTTGGAGGGAAAATTCTGACCCCCTTTTTCTGTAACGTATCTGCAACGTTGGCACTGTTATCTATGTTGCCAGGTTACTTGACAAATTACCCTTTAAGAAAAACTTTTATTGAGAAAAATCCAACGTTTTACTATGGGAAATTTCAGGCATGCACAGCGCTGTAGAGAATGGTGTGACCCTTGTCTCCCACCGTCAACAGCTGTCAGCATGGCCAGTATTGTCCCTCTCACAGTCCCCCACCCCATTATTGTGGAGAAAAACCCCAGACAACCTATTATTTTATCCATAAATATTCAATGTGGGCTTTGATGACCTTAGAAGATCCAGTAATGTCAAAAATGGAGACTCTCATATTTGAAGATCCTTCTGGTGGGAAGATCTTGTCTATTTAGACAAGGCGGTCAGCCTCAAAGCTGGGGGTGGGGAAATGATTTTTTTTAAAACAATCACCTGGGGGAGCCTTCAAACTACTTGCCCTCTCAGAGTTTGCTTCTGCGGCCCCCAGGCTCCCTCAGTTGAAAATCTCAGCCTTTGATGCACTGTGGACTTGGTTTGCGTCTGAGTGTTAGAGCAGGAATAAAAGTTAGGGGACCACTGCTTGCGGGTAAAAGTGATTCCAGGTAACGGGAGCTTTACCTCGCAAGAACCAACTTGTTATTTTTAACCACCATGGATGGGAGCTGTTTAAAAACATATATATATTTTTGCCCTTTTAACCAGAATATGCTGGGTATTACTCGTTTCCATTTACTATAGTTTTTGGGACACAGTCTGCCCTGCTGTAGAGTGCTTATTTTTATAGTTTACCTGTCACCTGCCTCCTTGCCTATTTTTATTCTGAAAACGTGCTCTTGTCTCCTTGAAATCTGCTACGGGCTACGAAGCAAGGCCCAGAGTTCCTGTACAGGAACTCAGAGTGCACCAGCTGTACGGGCATTCTTGTTTCTGAGCACAGTGTGTGTAGTTGGAATGAAGAGCTTTGTGATCGCTGACTGCTCCCGGTTTCCAGCGATCCTCTGCATGGATGAGGTTGTTGTGTAGCCACCCTCCATGCAGATGAGCCATCACCCTGATGGGCACAGTTTGGCAGGAATCTGTCCTCTAACTTCAAATCGAGCTTAAGGAGGTCTCCAGACGTCATGTTGGAAAGGTCAGGTCTCCAAGGAAAGTTGGAAAATGTGTGTCTGGACAAATTTCTCTCCATCTCACCACTGCGTTTGGAAAGCGAGTTAGGAGGCGAGAAATGAAGGGATTAAACAATGTGACCATTCTGCTTTTGTTGTTGTAGTTACTCAGCAGCTAAAAGGTAGGGCCTTGCATTTTAAACCTTGCACAACACGTTTACTTGGCCAAAAATAATGTGATGTGTGGATTTCATTTGGGTATGCCATAACAATAAAATGTATAGAAGAAATGAACAGTCTACCTTTCACCACACAGAACTGACTTCTTTTCTGCTCTTCTTGAGGGAGGAAATCAGAGAAGACATTTTCCCTTTCCCATCCCCTCCCACCCCACCCCACCCGTCTTTAAAATTCTCCTTCGGAAAATGACACAGTATTTTTTAAAACCCAGCTGAGCTGTGCCCAGGTTCATACACAGGATGGACTAGTTGCATCAGTTTTCCTTTCTCACACCCAGACGAGGGTTACATAGTTCTGTGAGGTGTGCTTGGAGTTGTAAAAATACGGAATGCTGGAAAAATCCCAGAGTCTGTTGGTAAATAGAGAACACAGCTGAACAGCACTTAGCTTCTATTGGTGATTTTCGAACTTGAGGGGGGAAAAGGGGGCAGGTGTCCATAACATAGCACGGGAAATAAGAGCGTGTGATGACCACGTTTGAGATTTGGATTTTCATGTCTCTTTCATGTCCCTAAAGACATCACAAGTAATTCAGTAACGAGGAGTAGACTACTTTTGGTTGACAATATAAAAGATCCCTCCACGTCTCACCCATCATATTCAGAGATTTAGTAGGTCAGCCGAGTGACTTTTTCTGTATTATGAGAAAGCTGTCTTTGCTTTGTGTTTTTAACTTAGTGGGTTTTTTTTGGTGATATCTTTAGGGAAAGAAATGAGAGGACTGTAGAAGGTGCTGGAAATCCACAGCTGGGAGTTCCAGGTGAAGCTTCCACATGAGAGCTTTTCGGAAGCCGATTGGTTAGCAGTGGGGTTTAGAAGTGACTGGGCTTTTCTGTAGGTCTCTCCCACTGTATCGCGTACTGTAAAAGGCCTTCACCAGCGTGGTGCTTACAGAGCAAGTGCCCCAACAAATTGCTTTTGGGAGTCACGGCGCATTATAACACCATTGATGACGTCGCTAGGTCCAGTGTCGTTTTTTGCGAAGAACTTCCCTGGGACGTAGCCTCCCTCTGGCCTCTGAGACCACCCCCAGGATCAGGCACACCCAGGTCTAGAAAAGGGACACTTGGGTGGTGGGAATGTTCTTGTAGAAACCTCAGTTCCATCTTTCTGTCCCCCTGAAGCGCACCCGTGAGCTGACTGACCTCTCATTCCTGTTCTCCGCAGTTTAAGCCTCTCTGAGGCCTCCAAAAGTCGGACCTCTCTAAGCTCCAAATTCCTCAAGTGTCTCTGAGGTCACCAGGGGGCCCTGCCCTATCTTGGCAGCAAAAACTCAACCCTTTTCAGGATTCATTCTTTCTCTCATTGTAATGACAGATATTTATTTAGCTCCACTTTTGGTTTATAGGAGACCACAAAGCTGAATGTGACACAGATCTTGCCCTTCAGGATTCCAAGTGGGGAACTAAAACACATGCGGGAGTTTCTCCAGGAAAGGGAGACTGGGGTGCCGTCAGCTGTAGAGACACAGCCACACAGGTTATAAGGCAATTTGGAAGCAAGTTCCCACTCCCCCAAAAGACCCGTTGCTAACCCCAGACACTATACACACGTAGTTGAGAGTCAAGAAGAAGGCTAGTCTCCTTACCCACTCGGGATGGGCTGCGTAGGACTTTCATTGAATGAGCCACTCCTTTCTGCTCAGGTGTCAGGGCTGGTGATGACAAGTGGTAGGGCTGGGAGAATGCACAGTTCATTTATTTTTTTTTATTTGAGATTTTTCTATTGATTTTTAGAGAGAGAGAAGAAGAGAGGGAGAGAGAGAAACATCTATGTGAGAGCAAAACATCCATTGGCTGCCTTCTGCATGTCCCCTACTAGGGATCGTGCCCACAACCCCGGCATGTACCCTAAGCGGGAATCAAACCAGCAACCTTTTGGTATGTGGGGCGAAGCCCAGCCAACTGAGCCACACTGGCCAGAGCGCATGGTTCCTTTTTATGCCTGGTCCCTTTCCCTAGGGAATTGTAGCACATAGCTCCATCTTAAACTCTGTATTCTTTGCTTTGCCTTTTTCTTTTCTTTTTTAAAGCCTTTCTCCACAGTAGCTGGTAGGGTACTCAGCCTTCTTTTCACACCTGCCTTGCTCTCCTTTGAGTGACCAGCTTGCAGTGCTGGGGAGAAGGAGGGACTGTGCCACTCTACTGAGTGCCCCCAAGGACATTTTCTCATTTCCTGCTCACAAACAGGTGGGGTGAATATTGTCTTTGTAGATGAGGAAACTGAGGCTGAGAGAGGATAAATGACTAACATTCACCCAGGCCTCTCTGGTTAATGCCAGTTCTTGCCCAAAGGTTTGCCCGTGTTCTTTTCCTTAAGGGTGAACTTGGGTTCTCAGAAGCACTCAGCTCACCCTCCTCTGTGCAGTGACTTTCTCCAGTGCAGTCGTTGACATTCACTTTCCTTTGCTTTACTGCGACAAAGACCCTGAGTTAGAGAGTTCTCAGTGTGTGTGGCACTTTTTTTTTTGTTTTGTTTTGTTTTTTTCTTTGCTTCTTATTCCCAGTTACTCATCACTAAAGGGCTGGCATCTAACTCTCTTACTTTTCTTTCTAAGATGCATCTAAGAAAAAGGGATTAATAGATTATATTTTAAAATTCGAATAAATTAGTCTTTACTGTTAGTTTTACCATCGATAGTAACAAAAGAGACTTGTTTAACCTTCATGATTGGGTATTAGCAACAATTGCAGCTCATATCATGTATTAGATATGTTCTTTACGAGTGGATCAAGAAAATTCTGTATTTTAGATGAGTGTTTATTTTTAAAAGAGCTTTCTGTTTTAAGAAACACCTTGTAGTAAATAGAAAGACAACTGCCTAACTTGATCTCTTTTGAAAAGCCAGTTTCATCAGGAAAATCTGAAGTGTCATGACCATGTGACCTTTCTGTGAGAGTATGGCATTTAGTTCTAGGTTTTATTTTATTTCTTTATGTTTAATTTTCAACCGAGGACATTCTTAGAGGAAGGAGAGAGAGAGAGAGAGAGAGAGAGAGAGAGAGAGAGAGAGAGAGAGAAAGAGAAAGAAAGAAAAGAGACTTTCTGTATACACCCATACATGGGATCCAACCCATCCAACCCACAATCTAGGTATGTGTCCTGACCAGGAATTGAACCAGCAACAGGAGGACAATGCTCAACCAACTGAGCCACTTGGGCCGGGCTGGATCTAGGCTTTATAATGTTCATGTGTTGAGTCCCCAGCGAACCACATGGAGAAAGTGAGAAAGGCCCCAGGAGCCAGGCTGTGTAACACAGGACTCGCTAGTAGACTTCATGTCGATTCTTTTGTATGGTGGGATATCAGAGTCCTTGTCTCTCTGTCTTTCAAGGACAAAGCAGAGGAATTGGGCTTAAAATACAGCAGGGAGCTGGCTTGTGTTTAAGGTAGAACTATATTCTCCTCCGGAGAGTTCAGAGGTGGAGAGTGACAGATGCTGCGGCATTTTCAGGAGCTTAAATATGCGAGGTGATTCATAGACTCTTAAAATGCTCAGACTGAAAGGGACTGGGCGGTCATCTCTGACCTCCCTCTCGTTACAGATTAGTGTCACACAGATTGTTTACCTGGGATACTTCAGGTGTAGCCCTTCCTGAAGGTAAGGAATGTCGTAAATGACAGCCTGGGAGTTCTTTCCAGAAGCCCAGCTCTGTGAGCACACAGTTCTGGCTGTAAATGCCGCGAGCTTTTCATTGAGGTCAGTGGTGTGGGTCTTAAAGATCGAGGAAACCTGCTTCTAGCTTTGAAGGAGTTTAGAGTCAAGATGTGTGGATACTTCTGACATAAATCAGTTTGCTCTGTTAAATAAGCATGAAAATGACTGTGGGAGTTCGGCCAAGGTGATCTGAGGGCAGGATCAGAGAAGTCCACGGGGAGAGGCAGTGCCACTGAAACAGAGCCGCAAGGAGTAGGTGTGGCTGGAATCTGTTTAGTACCTGCGTGGAGGGTTGCCTTTCTTTTTTTTTTTTAAACCTTTTGATTGTGAAAATTGTTAGATACACAGAAAAACGAAAAGAATAGTGCCATGGATACCTGGACACCTACCACCTAGATTCAACAGCTGTTAATGTTTTGTCATCCTTGTTTCAGCTCCGAACGTGTGTATGTACCTATGTGCGTGTGTTGTTTTTAGCCGTTGTGACATTTCACCCCTCATTATATCCATTGGCCTCTCCTAAAGCCATTCACCGGCATAAGCGTAATTCCACTACAAAAAATGGAAGAAATTTAACAACAATACATTATATCCAATTCCTGTTCTCTATTTCAAATTTCCCTAATTGTCCACATCTTTTTATTTATTTTTTTCACACCTCGGTTTGATGGAGGGTCACACCTTGCATTTTGTTTTTCTAACTCCTAAATCTCTCTCTCTTTTTTTCCTTTTCAAATGAAATGTATTGGGGTGACATTGGTTAATATGATCACAGGTTTCAGGTGTGGGTTTCTATGGTACAAGATCTGTATACTGCACTGGGTGCCCCCCCACCCCCTAAACCTCTTTTACCCTAGAGCAGCCGCCTTCCAATCCCACCTGCTCAGTTTTTGTTTCATGACATTGACCTTTAGAAGGACCGGGCCAGTTTTCTGATAACCTTTTTGTTGCTACCTTACCAGGGAAGTTTCTTGCAAATTGAAGATTTAAAATGTTGTGGAAAACTTAACATAGTCAGGTATTGTGTAGGAGATATCTTGGCAGGTTGTCTGATGTTGTTCCTGAGATACCATTTTCAGTATCGAATGCGCTTTACTCTTTGTTTGCAACAATAAGATAAGGCAGCTATAAAATGTTAGAACAGTTTAGAAGTCTATAAACTATAAAGCGAGAGTTCTATTTAATGTCGCCACTGTGTAGTCCCGAGATAACAGTTCATCGCTTTGGTGAACTTATCTTCTTTCCCATTTCTGTGTTTTTTTTTGTTTTGTTCATGTATTATCAAAACTGTTTTTGTGCAGCTTACTTTTTGCCCCACTAACTGCGTTTTGGACAGAATCCCACAGAATAGGTAGCAAGGGTTGTTTTTAATAGTGGCTGGGATACATGTGCACCAAGCCAGCCACATTCCTTCATCGGTGTTTAAGACGAGACACACCCAAATTGTAAAGTGCCGGGCCCAGGATTAGCTATGTGGCTTGTGCCCACAGAGCAAATATTTTCCTCTGTGTGAGGCTCCCCAGCTAATATAGGAATTGAAGCTTGGTGTTCTGTGCCCTGTGTTTCAACAAGTTGTGGGAATGCGTGAGTAGTAAACTCTTCAGGGCTCTGTATTTGAATTCTGGCTCTCTTTTTGTCTTTTCTGGGCGGGTCCCTCCATCCTCCTTTCTGTAGATATCAGGAGCTCATCAGGTTGGCCTACCTTGGAAGTAAACATGATACTCTGCCAACATAAAGTGATTTAGAAATGTTAATCTATTTTACCAAGTCACAGACTCTACTGGCATGTATATTTTAAGCCATCGTAAAACATATCCCTGTCATGCTAAGGAATGTGCCGAGGGCAGGCATCAAAGACCGGCTGAGGGAGTGTGGGGAGTGTGTTTTGCTGTGTTGTAGGTTTATGCTCTGACAATCTTCATGAGGCCCGGGGTACTGACACGGAGTGGTTGCTAAATGTTGAAGCCATTTCATTTATTTATCTAGTTATTTTTTCTATGTTTTTGTTGATTTCAGAGAGGTAGGGAGAGGGAGAGATAAAAACATCAATGATGAGAGAGAATCATCGCTTGGCTGCCTTCTGCACGCCCTCTACTGGGGATCAAGCCCACAACCTGGCCATGTGACCTCCTGGTTCATGGGTTGATGCTCAAACACAGCCACACCGCCGGGCCCATTTTATTTATTAGTTCAAGAATTCCTGCAAGTAGTTATTCATACTTGTCCATTCAAGTGTCAGCGGGGCTCAGAGGTAATTCTATGGATGAAGGGTTTGAAGGCTGGCTGAACTGCCCGACGCAGGGAATCAGGTTAACAGAGGGATCATGGGAACAGGAGATGGTCCTGTGAGCTGGATATGGAGAGCAGGAGGTTGAACAGAGGGGCTGTCTGGCCATCTCTGGCTTCTTTGGAAGGTATGAGCCTCCCCGTGAGAGCGTTGCTGGCTCAGGGTGGGACGTTGTTTTATTGTTGGGTTCTCCATGGCAATGATGTCATCGCTGGCATTTGGTGGACCACCAGGGTGTCAGGAAATCTCGTTTTTAGTAAGTTAAATTATCGGTAATTTGGTCCCAGGGCTTTTGCATCAAGCATTTTGTAAAAGGACAAAATGATGATAGGGTGGTTCCCCATATCTAACTGTCTAAATATTTGGTAAAAAAGGACAAGCACATTAAAGAATTCATATATTTAAAAATGTTTTTTTTAAAAGTAGGAAGTTGCCAACTGTATTAATTGTGTATTTCCTCCACATTCTATTATCCTTTCTCAGTAAATAAACAAGAAAATAAGTGATAAAATATTGAAATAAAAACAAAGGCAAATCATGTTACTGAAAGTAGAGAGGCAGATTTTAATTTCGGGATCAGTGGATCTTTGGTAAACCAACAAAAACCTTGCTTTTTCTCTCTGCAAAACAGGGATCATAAAATCTACACCACAGGGTTGTTCATGGGGTTGAAATGAGATAATATATATTTAGAAGTTAAAGAAACAGTGTTGATTCCACTCCGATTGCTCTCTCGGGCAGACAGGATTGTACAGTGAAAAAAAGCATGTGAGTTGAGGTTGCATAGACGTTGGTGTGAATTCTTTGCCATGTATGAGTTCCTTTATTTAATTAATTAGTTAGTTAATTTGCACCTCAGGATATATTTATTGATTTTAGAGAGAGAGGGAGAGAGAGGGAAACATCAGTGTAAGAGAGAAACATCTTGGTTGCCTCCAGTACGCGCTCCAACCGGTGATCGAACCCACAACCTAGGTATGCGCCCTGACTGGGGATCGGACCTGAAACCTTTTTGGTGTACGGGATGAAGCTCCAACCGACTGAGCCACTGGCCAGTGCTTGGATGAGTTCTTTTCATCTCTCTGAATCTCCATTTCTTCGGCTCTAACCGAGGAGTTTATCATGTCACCCTTGCAAGATAAGATAAAGTGCAGGGGCTCTCCCAGGTGTCTTGCAGGTTCTGGAATCTGGATGTTGATCCGGGGGAAGAGGGCGTCTGTGCATGTGAAAAACTGTGCCGTATCACCTACAGCTTCCCCTCCACGAATGACCTCGATCCTTTTCTGTTTGCAGCGACCCTGCAGCGTGCCACCCCGGGCATGGACACCTTCTCCCGTGTCTGGAGGAGCACGGCTGGTAGTGCCATCGCCGGGTCCCGAAACTGCTAAGGCCATCTCAGGGACGTGGGCGCCAGGAGAGGAGGGCGACACCCGAGGGCCAGAGCCATGCCTTTCGGCCTGAAGCTCCGCCGGACACGGCGCTACAACGTCTTGAGCAAGAACTGCTTCGTCACCCGCATCCGCCTGCTGGACAGCAATGTCATCGAGTGCACGCTGTCGGTGGAAAGCACCGGGCAGGAGTGCCTGGAGGCTGTGGCCCAGAGGCTGGAGCTGCGGGAGGTAAGGGTGTGAGTGTGGCGGGTGCGCGAGCGAGAACTCACCCAGGGGACCTCCACCAGTCTCTGCACCTGCCTTGCCTTTCCGCCTCAGCCTGGTGTTTAGAAGAATCATGTTATATTAGCAGGGGCTCGATCTTACAGCTTTCAGTGGAGAGAATCAAGAACACACCTAGAGCTCCCAGGGGGTGACGGCCTCCCTTTGGTTTCCACTGATGGCAAGGGTTAGGGGGAGTTGGAAATGAGAGGCTCTCCTCGCCAAAGTCATTTTCTGTCTGTACAAGGGTGGAGTGGGTAGCTGGGGTGGCATCCCGGCTGCCTGTCAAGGCGAGAACGCCCACATATGGAGGGATGCAGCTGCCTTCCTTTTTTGCTCGTTTGTGTCTCGGTTTCCCTCTTCAAAGGGAAGAAAAAGAGAATAAGCATTTAGAGTGAGTGTGAGCAGAGAGGTTTTTTGTAGGAGCGTGGAACATGGAGTTTTGTTCCCTTTAAGATTCCTCCTGACTCTCGTTTCCTTTGTACCGTCTGTGCGACTTCTTTGGGCTTTAAGCAAACCCAGGTTGACTGTACAGTCAGTCATGGCATTGCTCTTAAGGAGAGCCTCTTACTCAGGGCAGCGTGTCCTTCCGAACAAGCCGGCCCTGCGGTTTCCAATCTTACAGACACTCCGGAGAGGAGACGTGGTGAGCAGCGCACTCAGCATTTGTCTTGAGAACCATGTGTCATACCGGCTGGTGGGTAAGGGAATGGTTGAGCGGTTGCTGGAGCTGAAATGACTATAGCTCCTGAGATTCAACCCCTACTCCTAGGCCCTGTGACATCCTTGCCCAAGACCTCACGGTGATGGAGAAGAGGGGTGGTGCCTGTTGGAAGTGATTGATGGATGGTGTTTGATCCCCGCCCCTCACGAGCCACCTTCTCTCCATGTGCATATAGGATGTGGGGTCACGCACGAAAGGTCGTCTTCTCCCCTTGGCGTCTTCCACAGGCCGACTCTTATCCCCCGAGGGGCTGTTCTGCCTGAGCACTTCTGCCTCCTGCTGGCCTTCATGTTTATCCTCTGGTTTCAGAGGTCAGGTCTTCCTTCGGAGTTTATTCTCCTGTGTAGGAGCCCGTCCTGCCCAGCAGACATGTCGAGCTCTGTAGCTGACACACTAGAATAAACATGTTCTGACCTTGTTGGTCAATGGCTGACTCTTTTTTGCTTATTAGTAACCCATTTGGGTAAACTTATTTATTTATTTTTAAATATTTTTATTGATTTTAGAGAGGAAGGGAGAGGGAGAGAGAGATAGAAACATCAGTGATGAGAGAGAATCACTGATCGGCTGCCTCCTGCATGACCCCTTACTGGGGATTGAGCCCGAAGCCTAGGCATGTGCCCTTAACTGGAATCAAACCTGGGACTCTTCAGTCCACAGGCCGACACTCTATCCACTAAGGCAAACCGGCTAGGGCTGGAAATATATATTTAAACATAGGTCTGTGCATGAATATAAAGGAAGAACCTTAATGCTGTAGATCAGTTGTGCAGGAAGCTGGTCTAAATTCTTGGCAAACATTTAGTTACAGATCATTTAAAAATATATGCAGTGATTTTACTTTTGAGTATGGTATTCCCAGTAAGTCACATTAGAGTAATTAAGTATTCTTCACGCGCATTGGGAGGCATAGAGCCTGTGGCTAAGTAGTTACAGGCGCAGCCTTTGGAGTCTTGGACTTGAGTTCAACTTATAGTTCTGTTGCTTTTTAGTTAGGTAACCTTGGAAAAGTTATTTCATTTCTGGAAAATGGGAATAATGACCCTCACTTTACTTAGGGCCGTTGTCAATATTAAAAGAGGTACAGTAGGGGAAATGTGCAGTGCTGTCTCTAATATAATAACATGTCTCTAATATAATAACATGTGATTGTTCCAATTTGAGAGTCTTTTTCAATGAAGAAAATCTTGAGCAACTGCCGCTCATCAGACATTGTTGTTAAGATGTGCACAGACTGCCCACCTGGTGTGGCTCAGTGGTTGAGCATTGACCTATGAACCAGGTGGTCACGGTTTGATTTCCAGCCAGGGGACATGCCCGGGTTTTCGGGCTCCATCCCCAATAGGGGGCATGCAGGAGAGGCAGCCAATCAATGATTCTCATCATTGATGTTTCTCTCTCTCTCTTCCTCTCCCTTCTTGTCTGTAATCAATAAAAATATATATATTTTTAAAAAAAGATGTGCACAGACTAGTAGGGGAGTCCAACATTTACACGAACAGCTGCGAACGAATGTGATCCACACTCAGATGCAATGCAGGGGCAGCCGTGCCCTCCTGCCCTGCTGGACACCGCAGCCCTGGCAGGGAGAGGAAGCCTCAGGGAAAGGAGGAGCAGGGACTTGAAGGAGACAGAGGAGATCAGCAGGTGGAAGAGAAGGCGAGGTCACCCTGGGCGTGGGGAACTGGATTTTTGCAGATCCAAGGATGTGAAAAGGCAGCACATTCTTGGGGACTGAAAAGCCACCTCTGCCAATCACCAGGTAGAGCTCCAGCGGAAGGCGCAAGGTGAGGCGTGCCTGGAGATGCGTAGGGACACTCGTAGTCATTACTCTCCGCAAACTATTGTTCCTGGCGGTGAGAGGGCAAAGGTCAAGCCCGGATTATCCCACAACCGTGTTGTCACAAAGGCCAAAGCAGGGAAGTCACATTCTGCTGTCAGGTGTGTGTGGCAGGGTGACTGATCCTCTAATGCTCAGGGGTGGTGCGCGCTTAGTGCTGGCTTTATTTTGACGTGCCCCCAGCGGGCCTATCCGCATGAGAGCACATCACTTTCTTTTCTAATTGTGTGCTTTTGTTCTGTGACAGATGGCGTCTGAGCTATGGCCTTTTGAGAAACAATCCGGTAGCTACTTCTGAACTGAAGGGTGAGCTAGAGCAGTCCGGTACTTTGTTCCTCTTTTGTGCATCCACACCTGGAGGAGGAATGCACCCTCCACTCCGAAGCCCAAGTCGGAGGGGTGACTGGGGTCTGCTCCACTCACTTGACTTTGTATCGGGGTCAGTTTCCAAATAGAGCCTTTGGCGCTTCAGAGGAGAAAGTGGACATCCATCTAAAATATAACAACACGTTTGGTCTTGATGAGGCTTGGAAACCCGATTCGGGCGGGTATTGCCTTTTGCCAGTAGAACTGCCCTGTGGTTTGGGTGTATCCTAAACTCGGTAATAGCTTTATATTAGGAAAGGAAAATTAATTTTGATTTAATTTTAGATCTGCATTAATTACAGTTTGTGTTTCGCCACTTAATTTTAGCAGATAATTTTATTTTTTTTAATGCGGTTTTAGGTTTACAACAAAATTGGAAAGCAGAGTTCCATGTACCACCTGCCCCCACCTGCCCTCCTCTTCTCCTCCGCCATCAACATTCTGAATCACAGGGAGCATTTGTTACAATTGATGAATCCACATTAATGCATCCTTTTCCCTCAAAGTCCACAGTTTACAATAGAAGAGAGAGAGAGAGAGAGAGAGAGAGAGAGAGAGAGAGAGAGAAACATTGATTTTTTTTTTGTTCTACTTATTGATGCATTCATTGGTTGCTTCTTGCATGTGCCCTAACCAGGGATCGAACCTGCAACCTTGGTGTATTGGGATGATGCTCTAACCAGCTGAGCCCCTTAGGGTTCCCTCTTGGTGTTGTACATCCTGTGCATTTTGACAGATGTGTAATGACATGTGTCCACGGGGGAAGCTTTTTGAGGGTCAAGTCTGGTTCTGAATGCACTGGTGTGCTGCCGTGTCAAATGGCATCCAGATGGCCCAGGCCTGGTTCCTAGGTCAGCACATACAGTCCCGCCCAGGGAAGCGGAATATAATAGGGTCCCTGCTCCCAGAAACCCCAGGGTTTAGAGAAGAGGACAAACAAGCAGCAAAGCAAAGGGAACAGTCCGTACCGAGGTACAGAAACAGGAAAGCCCATGGAATTTTCAGGGAAGGGCAGAGTTCAGTTTGCACCGATCCGTTTGTGTGTGTGTGTGCGTGGAGGGGTCATGGCGGGGAGGACAGGAGTGTGGAAGGGCTGGGAGGAGTCCGCGTTAGAAGGTTTGAGTGTATCTGGATAGGGAATTTTAGCCAGATCCTGTAGGAGATCGTTTCCAAAATGTGTCACCAAAATAATGAAAACAACCGCCACCCGTTACTGGTAATGTGCTACCTGTTGTGCCGAGCACCTTCCATGTGTCAACTATTTAATTCTCATAACAAGCCTGGAAGGTGGCTCTCCTGCTGTCCCTGTTTTACGGATGTGGGACCACAGTTCAGGCTGCCCTGCCCGCTTTCCCTGGGCTGGCTCACACCCAGGCAGGCTGACTCCACCATTCTAATTCCCAGGGATGTGTAGTGGCAGAAGAGGGGCCGTGGTCCACGATTTGGGAAACGCCCTTGCAAGTTCTATAGGTTAGGAAAAAAATGCTGAACTCAGTGTTTCACAGTTATTTTAGTTTTCTAGTAAATCCTCTCTGAATTCCTTGGGGAATAAAACGCAGCCGTGAGATGGAAAGCCGTGGAAGGATTTCAAGGCGGAGCCTGACATTGATCACCTTGGGTTGAGGACCGTGGTCAGCAAACTGCGGCTCTCGAGCCACATGCGGCTCTTTGTCCCCTTGAGTGTGGCTCTTCCTAAGCCTTGGGAGTACCCTAATTAAGTTAATAACAATGTACCTACCTATATAGTTTAAGTTTAAAAAATGTGGCTCTCAACAGAAATTTCAATCATTGTACTGTTGATATTTGGCTCTGCTGACTAATGAGTTTGCCGACCACTAGTTTAGGAGAAGAACCAAAGAGCAAAAGAGGAATGGGGATTGGAGGGACAGGAGCATCAGAGATGGCCATTAGGTAGACGTAACAATAATCCCGGCAAGAGGAAATAAAATGAATTCCCCTTGCCAGGATTATTTTTAATTGTTTTAAGTTCAGAACAAAAAAAATAGGTATGAGTTTCTGGCCAGGAACTTCATTAAA